CCTCTGGCCCCTCTGGGAGCCTCCGCTGCTCTCTTTTCATTAGCCAACTTCCCTCCTCCTTATCTATTCATTGCTGCTTTCCAGGCTTGATCTGGGTACCATGCATGTTTGTGACTGGCGATTTAAAACATTTCCCATCAGCTGAGAGCAAGATACCTATTTATCTTATGGCTGCAAGCAGAGCTGAAATGATCTGGCATGGCCACCAAGCAGACAGTTATTTCATGCCCTGTTAATTCCTAATGCAGTAACTACAATATCATTCCTACTTTTAAAAGAGGTGCTTTTTTTTTTAAATGTGGGGCCTAAGTGCCCAAATAAAGAACATCATTCTAATGAGGCTGAGTCCCAAAACATAACCTTGTTGCTGCCACCGCCGCTGCTCCTGGACTAATGCTGAGCTTCGAGCTTCAAGGCAGTTCATGGAGGAATCAGAGAAACTCCTCACTCTTTCTAGGCAGCTCAAGCAGGTCAGCAAATATAAACTTTCTCTTCATGTCTGGAAATTACAGTGCGGGGTGGTGGACTGGAATCTCTGCCTGGAAGTGGTCCAGACCAGGAGTCCCTTCCACCACAGGACAGGCTCTGAGTACAGCAGGCCTGGTCCAAGCTGCCACAGAGGCACTGACAGCCTCCGTGCCAGGAGGGTCGCTGCTCCAAAGCAGCCATGCACACAGGTGTGTCTCGAGATCAGAGCGGGCAGGGCTGGGCTACAGTCAGGCGGGAGAGCACTTGCCCAGCCTGTGCGCCTGAAGCCCTGGTTTTGATCCCCAGCAACAGACACCCGCACAGCCAGATCACCCCATCCCTAGCGGCATCGGGTGTGGACAGGGCTAGAAGAAACACTGACACGTCACCGCGCTGGCCGCCTGCTGCCTCTCAGCAGATTTTATCCCCACTCACTGACACTTCCCATCCTTACCGTTTTCCACCCAGCTCCTGCCATACCCTGCTTCCTTCCATCCACGTCATTCCTAAGGCCAAGTCTGCCTCCCCCACCAGTGCGGACTCCACCCAGGGCCTTGCAAATCTTCCAGCAGAGCCCCATCAGGGCTCGCTGAATGCTTGATTTTCTGCCTCCCATGAGGGTAGGGATTAGCCTGCTCTTCTGTGCGTCCTGTCTGCCACGATGGGAGGAGGTAGAAAACACCCAGTGTGGGGCTGAGGAATGGGGCGCGGTGAACAAACACAGGCTGTGATCTGAACATCCACAAACGCCACCCAGGTGCTAGGACTGAGAGTCTACAGCAAGGGCATAAGTTCCGCTCAGAGCTGAGCACACCCCTGACCTGTGGCATGAGGTGGGGCCAGAGAAACCCTCTCTGCCGCTACTCCCTCCATCTCTGAAACAGGTCTAATTATGTGTATTTTGCAGGGATGCTTTTATGAGGACTGGAGGAGGCTGATTCCCAGTACACAGGAATCAAAGCCTGTGAGCGTCCCAGCATGAAGGGGGCCGTTCCCACCTGTTTGGGGGGACCAGCAGCAAAGGCATGGAGTTAGGGAGGGTCAGAGAGCCTCAGAAGAAAGGTGAACCTCACAGTTAGGGTAGCCTTGCCAGCTGCTGCGGACAGAGGGAAGTGCTGAGAGAAATCTTCCCCGGGGGGTGCCTCATCCCCAGTGATGTTGCCTGGCCCATGCGACCGGGGCTCCCATGGTCCTGGAGTCCCAGTCATGCTTCAAGCCGGCTCTCTGCTCTCAGGGTACCCTCTCAGCTCCCCTCAAGTGCATCCTGCTTGTGCAGCACCAGACAGGACGGCGGGAATCTACCGAGGAGTAGCGCCTACGTCAGACCCTCTAAGATTCCATCTGGAGAAGCACTGACATCTCGACCACCTTTCCTTCCTTCCTTCCCTGCCAACCATCGTCATCCTTGGACACCTTATCGAGCTTACTTCTCCCGGCTCACAGACAGGACAACTAATCACGGACCTAGCAACTCGTCAACTCCAGGGGCATCGGCCCCCTACCCGTGCCTGGCTAGGAAATCAGTGTGCACCCAGGGCTTCAACCTCAGAACAAAAGAATCTGCGCTGCTGAGCTGAGTTCCTCCTTCCCGGCACAGGACTGCAAGCTTTCCTGCCCTGAGGGGAGGCGTAGAGCAAGTGATATGCTAAACGGTACATACAAATAGCTTCATCCCACCCTTGAACTGAGGAAGTCAGCTCAGCTCAGGCTGTAGAACAATCACAACTTTAAGCCCCTGCCAGAGCCCAGAGACCTCTCCTGCCGGGGGCGGCTGGTGGGCCCTGAGTCCAGCGCATGCAGTACTCCTCAGTGGGAACTGCCTGATCCTGGGCACTGACAGAGGAGACAGGGTGTGAGCTGCGACGGCTCCTCCTCCTGTGAGATGCAATTTCCCAGGTGGGAAACACAACCCACCCGGGGCCAGAGATCTCCGGGCTGAAAAGTCCTTCCGCAGGGCCGTTTAAAAATCCATACCCACAGAAGAACATTCCCTGCAAAAGACTCCCATTAACCAAAGGAGGTGCCTGTGCCCACTAATAATTAAGAAAAACTCAAATCCAAGTTGGATCGGGTACCATCTTTCATCAGTCAGTGTGTGAGGGGGCAGGGTGGACAAGAATTTTCAGGGCCAGAGGGCATGTGATTAGTACAGCCACATAGGAGCCGTTTGGCATCATCCAGCCAAACTGGAAGTAGTTGTACCACACAACCCAGCAATTCCTGTTCCAGGCTGCTTATGTGTGCAAGATGACAGGATTAGAAACGCTGGAGATCTGGGAGGCATGGAGAAGTCCACCCCAGGGGAATAGCTTGCATGTTGATGGCAGCGGACTATTACAGAACTGTTCAATGGGATGAGTGAGATCTACACTCAACAGTGCAGAAAGGAAGCACTAGGTGAAGTACACATATGCAACTCCTACTTGCATGCGATCCTCCCCGCTTCCATCAACAGGAAACGTCACTGATCCCCGCAGTGCACGCTGGGCTGCCAGGACACTTCGTCCAGAAGTTCGGCCTTCTATGCTTCTCAGCATCGTTTGTGACCTTCATCTACAGACAGGGCTGTCCCCTCAGCCTGATCATCGGCCCGTGGGGCAGGGAACATGGCCCCTGCTTCCTCTGGGATGCCCTGCAGCCTTATAAGGCAGATATGCAATCAGTATTCGATGGCTCACTGGGGACCAACCATGGTCTCCCTCTAAGAATCCAGAAGCAAAGCTCCCAGTGTCTTTGGCCGAGGCACCTTAAGCTGTCCTGCCCCACTTCCCGCACGGCCCCTCCAGGGTGGAAACACCCACTGCTGCCCACCTACACTTTTCCTTCCTCCCTGTCTGGAGGGGCCTGGCTGCATGAGAGCCACAAATAACTCCAAACATAAATATGACCTAAAAATAGCCATCCATCATTCTGATACCATCCGGTGACAATTGTAATTTATAACATGAGGGAAGAAAATGAACACTGTGGCTTTTTTTCCCCGGGCTTCCAAGCTGCTGCTGAGGACGAATTCTACCCTGCTGTTACTTACAACCAGGAGTTGCTGATTTACGTATTACTAAAAATGAAATATATCGGAGGACTAGGGGCACAGGGGCTGTGTGCCTGGGTTTAGTGTGAATTCCTGCAGGCCCGTAAAGCCCAGCGTGAGCAGCCTCTTCCTTCTTGGGCCCTACCCACTCTCCTTCATCCTCTACCTGTTCTTCCTTTGGGAAGTTAAGGGTGCTCCCCCAAAGGGCAAACTCCATCCTCCTCGGCTCCCTGTGAAGATGGCTAATCTAATGGCAGCGTCCTGGTCACAGTCCTCGAGGTGGGTCCAAGCAGCCCATCAAGTAATCTGCATTTTAATGTTCCATGCAGTCAATTAAACCATGCTGTGCCAACTGTGGGCACAGGAGAGCACAGGGAACTGGAATTCCTCAGACTGCGGCTTTTCTTTGTTCATCATGATAAACCATTGTTTGGGGTACATAAAAAAACAGGCGTGTAAAACTAAAGTTATCTCTTGGTGGGGCAATATAATAAGAGCCATTCAACGCTATTTTTAACAGACACACAAGCATATGATTAACACAGAAAAAATCATCATGACAAAGCCTGTTACACAGCATGTCAGAGTGAGTGGAACTGCAGCCATAGAACTCAAGTGGGCTTACGGTCCTCGCCGCCACCGCAGCATGCCAGGACTCGGCACACCTGCAGGGCAGACCGGGGTTTCTCTTTGGCCGGTTTGGGACACCAGGTGCAGCACAAGCCGCTTCCAGTCCTGGCCCAAGACAGCCCTTGCCCCACTCCTGGAGGAGGACCACTAAGGAACGCAGAGAAGCGGGTGCAGGGCCCTTGCCTCTAGCACTGCCACACCCAGCTCAGACCCTCAAATGCTGGAATCAGGAGGGGAGAGCTTCTCCAGGGCTGCCCTTGGCTGAGAGCCAGGACGGTAGCAAGGAAACCAGGTTGCATGCAGGGACAAAACCCCACTGTGCCCGAGATCCCAAGATGCTTCTTCAGATCACTGCAGCGCTCCAGAACTGTGCACACCCATGAGGCTATCTAATTGCCTGGAGCCTGGACTGAAGTTGAAACACCCAGAGGGAGATGAAAGATCTTTCCCTAGCAGGAGTGAAGCCTCGCTTCGGGGGTCACTAGCTCAACAGAGGAGGCTAGGGCAGCTAGAGAGGGAAGTTTCTCAAGCCACCTCCCCTCTGCCCTGACGCCTGCAAACTCCCAATGCACCCAAGGCTCTTTCGTTTTAAATACCGTAAGAAATTCTGCAGGCCCCTTGCGAATCCCTGTCCAAACATCAATGACCCCCAAGAAAAGTAGGGCCTCAGGTATCCCAGGGACACTGGGAACTCAGGTGGCTGTGACTACCAGGTAAGAAAGCAGGTAAACAAAAGCAAACACCAGGATCTTAGCAAGCAAAAACTCTTTTGACAGAGGTGACTGGCATCAAATTACTCCCAAGCAATTCCATTCTCCATTGTAGCCCAGAAATGACATTTGGGGACAACAGAACCTTTTCTGCTCTTTACCTCTACTCCCTGGACCTTGAGTTTCATGTGGTCCTCTCTGGTCGTTTTCCCATCTTTCCTCTTTTTCCAGCAATACCCATCTTTCCTGTATTTCACTTTCTTCCTGTTGTAGAGTATCATTGAGCCATTCTGCGGTCTGGAAACAACAAATGGTTAAATTACCAAGAGAACCAAGCAGGAGAAAAATTTATGAAGAAAGATATCGTAGACCAGTAAAAGTCTCTACAGGAAAAAAAAAAAAAAAAGCAATATTCCACATTTGCTGGCACATAATTTTTCACCTTTTATTGCAGCTCCCTAGATCAGCCATGTTTCATGGCCAGCCAAAATTTGCTTGTAGATTTGGTACCTAATGAATTCAATGTGTCAATGATAGGCTTAAAAAACATCCCCTTAGTAACATCCACAAACTAATCGGGATATATGATGCAGGGGCTGAGGACAGCACTGAAAAGTAGCCGAAACTGAGAGAGAAAGCAAAAAGAGCCAGGGGTGCTGTGGCGGGCTGTAATATCTTATCACTTGGAGAAGGGTTTTCTACACATCTTTTAATCCATCACCCAGCATTAGGAAATAAATAAGTTTAACACAGACGCTAGATGACTACGTTAAGAACAGACCAATGGAAGAGCTAGTCACCGAGGCCAAATGCTCCTGATTCATGGCCTGCATTTAGATCACCGCCAGATAGGAAGGAGCATTAGAGTCCTCCTTCCCAAGAAGCTAAGTACCTGATTCGTTCCCATTTGGGCCTCAGCTGTCAGAGGTCTCAGATAGTGCCAGGTAGACTCATCTATTCGGTTCACAGCCACAGAACCTTAGGAAAACCTTTGCCCATTTACTAAAGGCTAATGGTAGGATGGCCATTCTTGGGATGTTTTAAATGAACAAACTAAAAGAACCTTGGATTTTCTAGAAAGAACAGCTGCTTCCACCACAGAGCGGCAGGTCACTGTGGTCACGTCTACAGGGCAGTGGTTGTGTGTTTGGGCTTGGAAACTCCAAGGACAGAAAGCCAAGGCCCCAGGCAGCCACAGCAGACGCTGTGGTGAGGCGTTTCTGGAACAGAGCTGCAGCAGGTGCAGACAGACCCAGCTCCATGCAGCCCAGCCCCTGGCACAGTAGGCTCAGGAAAGGCACAGTGACGAGGCAGCCATTGTGAGTGTCACGAGGCCGGCTTTCCATCTCCCTCTCAGCCAAGAGGAGGGAGCTTTTCACACAAACTGGGCACACAGAGTGGCTTTTCCTCAGGCACCCTGGTCTCTGAGTCCCTCTGCTGCTGCAGCGGCCAAGGAAGAGTCGCATCAGCCATCCTTCTGCTCCTGGGCAAGAGCCTCCAGCCTTGCTTTCCTTTTTTCCTTCCAACAATGGGCCATTTCACCACCAGCCATTGAATGCTGGCTATTGATGGCTTAATACTCCATTGTCTGGAGGGGAAAAAAATCCCAGCAGGGTGACTGCCACTAATTGCAGTTCCCACCCAGCCCCACTGTGTCATTCAGAGGCAATACGATGACTACACAGCAATTCCATCGGAAATTATAAACCTGCAACAGCGACTCCCTACACTTCATTGTTCCCCGATCAGGCAATTGTTTGTGTCAGTGTCCGTTTCCTCCCTAAGCCTGCCCTGCCTAAAACAATCAGGGAACAGCTCCAGCGCTTGTCACTACACAGCCAGTCACCTGATGGTATCTGTCTGCGCTTACAAGTCTGCAATGAAACCCTTACAATTCCTCTCCATTTCCAAGTGGCAGGCTGTCTCTGAAGGGTCCTTCTTCTGTGTCAGCCACTCAGGCACTTGGGGAGGAATCTTCGGAGCACTGTGAGCCCCCTGTCCCCAACAGGCCCCCCAGAGTCCAACCATGGCGCTTAAGGCCATTGCCCAGACAAAAAGCAAAGCAAAGAAACTCATCAGATCAAACAGGTGTGCTCTGTGTGTGCCTCACCCCCTCCAAGGAGGAATGACGGCACCCATGGGGTGTTACGGGGGTGCCCCATCAAAGAAAATCCATCTGTAGAAGTTCCTGCCTACTCAGCTTCACCCGGCCAAGGAACAACACCAGTGGCTCCATCCTGGACCTGTCCAGAGGTGGCCAGTGAACATCAGCGGCACTGTCAGGCCAGTGACCCCCAAACTGAGTGGATGACCCAAAGGGGGCTCCCCACGACACGGTCACGTGCACAGCTGGACTCACACCCACCCCCACTCAAGATGACCCACTCCTTGGCATCCAAGAATGACCCTGGCATCTAACACTGAGAACAGGACCCCCAGGGTGTTAGAAGGCTTAATAAATGGAACCAGCATCTTCAGCTTGAATAAGGAGCAACTGAACAGCATGTAACACATCCATGTGCTTCCAGCAAACTCGCTTCTGCTCTGTGTACGTGAAGGTTCTCACCTGTGCTCCCAGTCCTACAAGTGGCAAAGGGGGGGATGGAGGGGCTGCAGGGGCCTGCCTGCAGGGCACGGTCTGTGAGGCCATGAGCCATCTCAGGATGCAGTCCCCAGCAAGGTGGACCTGCAGGAAGGGACGTGTGAGGGTAGAGGGGAATGACGTGTGGCTCTGGGAGGAGCCATGCGGGCTGGGCCACAAGGTTTGATCTACTTCCCAGGCAACCTCAGGCAGGACACGCTGAGCAGTGCAGGGGAGCAGGAAGAGAGTTACACATAGGAAAGAGGACAGGGACCTCACAGAAGGAGCAAGGGAGCCCTGCACCCTAATATGGTCACACCTTTCAGTCCTGACCACTTACTGTGTGCCAGTGACAGCGGGGCAGGTCGCATGCATATCTACACCTGTACCCACAACTGTATCTGTCATCTACACACCAACCCCATCATATAGGCATCATCTTTCCAGCATACAATTGGCCTTTCTAGCAAGAAGCTTCCTGCAGGAGACAGGCATCCCCTCGAGGTGGGTTGAGTCTGGGTCTGAACCCCATTCCTGCTCTCCTGGCTATGTCATCATTAGTGTCTTAAAATCACTGTCACCGCGAGACAGGGATCTGGTGGGTGGATTTCAGGACTCTGCACCCCAGGGCTGCAATGACTCTGGGGGAACCCAGTCTTCCCCATCTGGCAGCTGGGCTGACTCTGGGTGCTCCACAGTCTCTCAGTGCCCCACCCCAACCCCCAGTAAGCTGTCCACAATGGTGACTTGCTGAAGAGAAAGTTCCTTTATTTGCATTCTTCCTCTTCCTCTTTGGCCTCCACCCTCCCTACTGTTGCTTCCTGGGGTCACCTCTCAGACAAACTGCTTGCACGAAAATCCTTATCTAAAGATCTGCTCCTGGGAGAACCCAGGCCAGCATGACAGTCTGAGAGAGCCTCTTGGAGTCCCCTGATGCCCCTTGCATGGCACGGAGGAGTGTCAAGCAAAAATGAGATGACAGGGAAGTCATTCTAGCAGGAGGCTGCTAGCCAAGTAAACTTTTATCTAAGAGACAGTAGCAAGCAAAATCAGTGACAGTGCAATGGGGTAAAAGGGTCATGGGGTCAGCGGAAACCTTCTACAAATTACAGATGATCACTGGATAGATAGAATAATGGAAGTCCCATTTAGTGTAGAGAAAAATAAAATAGAAACCTACACATAATTTAATAAGAAACTCCCAAAGTCTAGAGAGAAAAAATATTTTTAAATCTTCTAAAAAAAAAAAAAAAAAAAAAAAGTCATGTCGATAACATGCAAAAATGTAACAGGTCTTGGTAGGGAAGAGTTAAGATCACAAAAATGTGAATCTTCCTAAAGTTGAATGATAAATGTGACTTGATAGCAATGAGAAACTTCCATCTGACATTTTTTTTATGAATCTAGAAAGTTTTATTATAAAGTTCATTTGGAAGGAAGAAACCCTAAGAATAGCTAGATAAACCCCAATGAAGATGACCAAGGTTTGGAACTAGCCCTACTGGCTATTAAAACATACTTTAAAACTTCTATTTTTAAAAGTATGAGGTATGATCAAAATATATAGGGAAGGTTTACATTTTTTATTTTACAATGGTAAAAGACACATTTGCATTAATCCTCCTCAAAATACCCCCCCACACGCTTCAAACACACTTCTCCCATCATTGTTGCCACTTTCTGAAGCAGCTCTGGAAGGCTCTTTCATGAGGGACTTCATGAGATGTAACAAAAAATACAATGAATGCAACTGACAGGTGCCATCCAACAGGAAGGCAGGTCACACAAATATTATAGTGTGATCTCATTCACCTTAATTCACTGGATGTGGCACTGTTTGACTTCTGGCCCTTCTCCAATGTTAAAATGACCACGAAAGGTAAACATTTTAGATCAGTTAAGGACACTGCAGCAGCCACAACAGTGCACCTGAAGACCCTTAGAAAAGAAGACTTCTAATTGCTTCAGAAAGCCATAAGAATGATGGGATAAGTGTGTTCACAGTGGTGGAGAATACTCTGAGGATGGTGATGGGGATGTGTCTTTTACAGTACTCAACTTTAAAATTGAAACATTCATTGTATTTTTCAGTCAAAACTTGCATGAGCTTGACATGAGTAAATAGGCGTGTGGAATGGAGTAGAGGACCCAGATACACATCCCCCTTACAGTGTAGTGCACACAGTAAGTGAGGGAGAGCAAGGTGGCAGGGCAAGGGATTCACTGTTTAATACTGGGACGTATCCCTCCCATCACACAGTAGTCTTGGTTCTGAGTGGCCCAAACACTTCCATGCAATGAAGAAAATCTCGTACATACTCTAGGAGAAAATATAGGAGAATTCCTCAACAACGTCAAGTGAAGGACGCTTTCCTGACCGTCATTCAAGATTCACATTATGTGTAAGACAGTACATCAGATTACATTAAAAAAAATACGCTCGACTCTTCATGGAGGCAGCAGCATTTCACATCTGCACTAGAAATGCATTTCTCCACCACCCCAAAAAAGTTGGCAGTGCCTGTCATTTGGGGCAGTGCCACCCTAGTGGGTGTGTGGTGGTTTTAATTTTCATTTCTCTAATGACTAATGATGTTCAGCAACTTTTCATGTCGTTATTAGCTATTCATATAATTTCCTTGGTGAAATGTCTGTTGGAATCTATTGCCCATTTTTAATTGAATTGCTTTGCCTTCTTATTTTTGAGTAGTACGTG